CAAAATACCACCACATATAAATATTACTAGACTGGTCTTCGCATCTAGCATTACACTTGTGTAACTTAAGAGACTTTTCTTTAGCATATGCTTTTAGCAAGAATGGCTGAGGTTGGAAGTGACCTCTGGAGGTCATCTGGTCCAACCCCCCTGCTCAAGCAGAGCCACTGAAGAGTGAGTGAGTTGCTCAGGCCACATTCAGACAGCTTTTGAATATCTCAGAGTATGGAGACTTCACAACCTCCCTGGGCAACCCATGCCAGTGCTCAGTCACCCTCAAAGTAAAGAAGTGTTACCTGATGGAGCCTCCTGTGTTTCAGTTTGTGCCCACTGCCTCTGGTCCTGTCACTGGGCAGTGCTGAAAAGAGCCTCGCTGTGTCTGCTTTACATCCTCCCTTCAGGTATTTATAGACATCAGGAAGATAGCCCCCAGGACCTTCTCTTCTCTGGTCTAAACAGTCCCCGCCCTGTCCGCAGCTCTTCACGTGAGCGATGCTCCAGTCACCTTATCACCTTTGTGGCCCTTTGCTGGACTCTCTCCAGTATGTTGAGGAGTCTCTGGTACTGGGGAGCACAGAAGAAAACAGTACTCCACATGTGGCCTCACCAGTGTTGAGCAGAGGAGAAAGACCACCTCCTTTCATCTTGCTGGCAACACTGTCTAACACAGCTGAAGATACCTTTTGCCTTCTTTGTGGCAGGGGCGCATTGCTGGCTCATCTTCAACACCGTGACCACCAGGAACCCCAGTCCCTTTTCTGCCAAGCTGCTTTACAGCTGGGTGGCCTACAGCATATACTGGTGCATGGGGTTTTTCCTCCTCAGGTGCAGGACTTGGCACTTCTGGTTCAAGTTCATGAGATTTCTGTCAAACCATGTCTCCAGCCTGTTGAGGTCCCTCCCGATGGCAGCATGACCCTGTGGTGTATCAGCCACTTTTCCTAGTTTGGTGTCATCAGCACACTTGCTGAGGGTGCCCTTTGCTCCATCACCCAGGTCGTTAATGAAGATGCTGAACAGGATTGGACCCAGTACTGACCCGAGGTACAGCACCAGTTACTGGCCTCCAACTAGACTCTGCACTGCTGACCACCACCCTCCAGTTCCTGGCATTCAGCCAGTTCTCAGTCTACCTCACTCTCCGCTCATGCAGCCCATGCATCAACAGCTTTTCTACGAGGACCTCACAGGCTGAAAGCTTGTGTTGAGATGAGCAGGTAATCACCACACTACTTGTTAAATTTTCTGACGAGACATTTCTGCTCAAATTGCCTCTTTCTGTGGAAAAGTTCCCTATCACAATACTGCTCCACACCCAGACCCTCCATTTGGAACATACACTTTTCCAATAATGTTTTAAATACTGATTGGCCTTGCTATTAGGAATAAGGACGACAAAATTTCATATGCAAGTTCTTTGCTACTAAATGATAAAGGTTGCCAGCTGACAAGATGCATGTTCAGATGTGAGAATTTGAGTATGAACCACAGAAAAAATCTGAAGTCAGTTGCTGAAACCATCACAAATACTGTTTATTTGTGGATGCCATTTTACATCAACACCAGCAAAAGACCTAAAAAAAAAAAAAATCAACTGGATGAACTCATGTTAACTGGTGTAACAGTATTTTCATCAGGTTGTGAGTCACAGGAGTTTATCACACCTTATTTATGTCCGATTGAAGTAACTAAGACAAAGCATTCACAGTTACAGGTTAACTGCTGTTCCTGCAACAGCAGTATCAGTAGGTACTATCTTGTGACAACACACGGAGGGACACACGCACAGAGGGGTAGGGAAGTTTAAAAAACGAAACTAAAAGATATCAAGCAGAGTTTTGGTCTCAATAACAGACAAACTATTTAGTTGGTGGATGGATTCTATACACTTTATCAATATGAAAGGACAAAATATAAGGCCTAGAAAGAGGTATTTTAGCAGTTATAATTAAAACCAGGGCACAAGCTAACTTTTAAAGCTGTCTATATGAATTCCAAGAGTATTAAACAAATTGTTAGACTTGTGACCAAGGGTCAACAGAAATCTGGGAAAACTTTAACATAGCTGAAGTCCATTTCTTGCCCTCCAAGAAAGTAACTTGGGAACACAAACCAAGTAACAATGAGCTGTAAGCAAATTTGATTGCAAGAGCATATCTGTGATGAAATAAAATACATGTATTTGTGATAAAACAGGAGAAGTCTCCAGTCCTCTACAAATATTAGAAAAGGCTACATAACCCAAATCTTTATTGTAGCTTAAAGACAACCTTAAGAAGGTTTTAACTGAAAACTCAAGTACATAAAGGATTCCAACAAATTCCATCCTCCTCAGCTTGCTTTCTTTGAAAAAGACAAAAAGTATTTAAAATATTAATTTTGTTGGTTTTTTTTTTAATTATTATTTTGCTGCAAAATTGAATTTAATTTATGGAATGTTTTTGCTACTAACGTTCATAGGATCATTTAGGCAGGATCTCCAAGATCGAGACCAAAGCACTGCAAATGTTTGTCATCGATCAACTCAGTGTCCACTGCTGTAGTCTATGGATGCTATTTTCCTTTCATTAACCAGCTATCCACTTTACATCTCCCAAATACGAAGGATGAATTGCATATAGATCAAATTTCTGCTATAAGGACAGTAATTGTACACCAGAAAGACTAGCATAAGACTCGTGACACTTCTGCCAGAATGACATCTGTCTCATTCAAGAGGTCAGCATATTCCAAATATTACTTTTCAAAAGGAAAAAAAAAGCAAACAGAACCACACCCACATCAACTAGATGATGGCATAACAAGCAAAAAAGCAAACACCCATCTTGTACTAAATACAAGGTAAACTAGGTAGCTTAGTTAAGTTTCCAGAGTTATTTAAAAATGAGGGAATTTCCCACAAAACACAAGAGCTGGCAATGTTAGGATGCTCTGCTTATCGGCATACAAAGCCACACCAGAAGGATGGACAGCACAGGGAAGCTTATCAAGCTACACGGGTCCATTTCAGTCTGCTTATTCTCTATGAACGTCAGTAAAGCTGTCTACTAGCTGCAGTGGAATCTGTGGTTCATTTCATGTAGATGCATGTTTATAAAGCAGCTGAAGGCTACAGATTGATCCCACAAGTGGAAGAAAAAAAAAAATTTGCAGCATCCATCTGATTAATTTCCAAACACATTCTTCCTTTCCATCACTCCTGATTACTCTTAACCAAAGAAAAAAAACCTAGAGTTTGTTTACTTACACAGTATGAATACTTTCTGAGGTTTCTTTTCCTGTTTTCTTTGCTTTGAATTGAATTTTGTATTCTGCTAAACGTCAGCAACACTTGGGAAAAAAGCACCTGGTTGAGCAGAACAGATTTCTGTTGACCCTGTTACATGAAAGTTACACCTATAACAGTAGTAGATTAAAAGTGTCTTTGGCTTTTGCTTCCATTATTGGAAGCCAAGTTACCTGTGATGTAGAAAAGCTTTTATACAAACCTTGTGTTGGTTGGAGAATGCCAATTTGTGCTGAACAGTTTTCTAGAGTCAGTAACTAGCTTAATGTTTAAGAACAATTACAGTAATTCAATTGAAATCTTAGCAATTGCAATTTAGCCTAATGTGAAAAGTTATATTGCTTCTGAGTTCGTTCTTTTAAGAACTAAACCAGCAGCTCCACTACTTTTTCCTTATGGTTATACTATGGCAATATACACATTTACATCAGAAGTCTTAATAAAACGTGTGTTTTAGTAAGAGGCTTATTGTAAACATTAAATACCACACTCCACTGAACTTCTTGTGCAAACTGGCATCAAACACGGAAATAAGATTCTGTTTATTAGTACATGAGAAAGCAATGACTACGTATGTTTTACCTCACTACCTTTCTGAAGAGCACTATTTAGTGTCATGGAAATCTGAACATGACTGTTTCATGGGGAAAGGTAGCATTTTCTCCTTAGCATCACAAAAATCTAAAGTTTGTATATGCATACATATTGTATATTTATGTATATACAAATATACACAAACAGGTTTTGTCTTTGGCAGCTCAGTCTGACAAACAAAAACCACCACCAGACAGATTTAGACACAACTGACCAGCTGTAGCACCACAATGACAACACCCTGGTCCATGGCAGCAAACTTACGTGCTTTTGCTAAACTAGGCTTAATCCTGAAAGTACTCAGGTTAAAGACAGTTGTTCTTGACTTCAGTGATGGCAGAACAGAACCTTCAATACAGCTGAAAATTTCACATTCAACCTAAAATGCTTTCCTCCTCTCCCCCGGATTGCATTCTAGAGAAGTATCAAAACTGTCAGTATCTTGTAAAATACTTCTACAGAAAAGTAACATTAATCTTCATTCCACAACATCCCCAGTCCTTTTTTGCTAAATGCTCCATGAATCAGTATGGAACATTTTAATAAATCCTCAAGGATCAAAGTTTAATAGCACCAGATACTACAAGGACATATTTATAAAAATCAACACTGATTTTTCTTAATAAAGAAGGGTAAGGCAAAGACAACATGACAAAATTACAGAACTTAAGACATCATTCCATTCACTCCTTTTCCCCAAAATAATCACTGGGACTGTCCTATACAGGTAAAGAAATGAGTGAAATAGGCAGTGGTCCCTACTGAAAACTACTGTCATTTAATGCTGGTGTTTAATGTGCCCATTGCCTGCAATGGACATTCTGCTAAGAAATTCCAATCCCCTGCATCAAAGAAAAGGTAACGTTTTGACTACTTGGTATTGTACTTTTAATTATTCAGAAACACAAAGTTAGAGACCCTGGGAAAGACTAATGTTGCAAACAAACTAACCTCCTCAAATCTGTATTATCTAGGTGCTAGGGGTGAGAAGACCTTATTCCCCAAACCACTAGTTTTAGCTAGAACTTTGAATTTCACTAGATCGCAACACAGATCAAACACTCTTGGTACACAAAAAATTAAAAGGAGTATGCCAAAGGCAATTTACAGAAGTCTAAAACCCATTTTTAAAAGGTACTTTAATTTGTTCATTTGTACCTGTAATGACTACTGCAGTTTTAACATTAAAAAGTCGGTACTTTTTTTCTTCAAATGGAAATCATCTGTGGCATGTACAACTGTTACAGTGCTTTAATATTTATATGTGTGTGTTTATATATATATATTTTAAGACATCAATGTTTCATTCCTATTAAGCAATAGGTCAAGTTTGGCGAATTCTGGTGAAGAAAGTCACAGCATGTCTTCTCCCCTCAGAAATTGGCATCTCAAATAGTAACATTACAATTGACAATAGTTCTTCGCATAACTATGTCCAAGCAGTCTGTTCGTTTTCTGAAATGCTACATTTGAGACCAAAGAAAAAGCAAAACAACCAAAGTTTCAACAAACATGGAAGTGATGACTAGAAATATGCCACAAAGTTATTTTTACAATACAGTTCTGCAGAAATAATCCCTAGGTGAAGCTTTTTTTTTTATACACATATACAAAATTTAGACAGCAATATACACATAATCACAGTGAAGACGCTGGCAAGTTCACCAATTTGTAGTGTAAATACAAAATGCAAAGCAGCCTTCAAAGAGAACAATGCTACACAGCAAGCATAGCTAGCTTGTTAAATAGCAAACATCGAAAGTTCCCTGCAAAAGGGATGCAGTGCAAGAAAAGCAGCATGCACTTTGATACAAATAGCAGTTTATGGCTAATGGTTGACATAACTGTGGTAACAGTGACTCTTGAGTGGCTGTGCATAGTTTAAACTCCTATGTCATCTGTTTTCCTTTATACCATTCCACAAACTCATCCAACAACACTGGCCCTGTAGAGAGATCAAATAACTCTATTTTACAAAATTTTGTAAAAGGACACTGAATGATTAACCACAGAGAAATAAATTATTTCAGAACACCAACATAAGGCAGTACTTACAGGCTCCATCTTCATCGTAGTTACTGAGGTCGAGGTTAATTGTTCTGCTGAATTCAAGAACGTTACACCATTGGTCCTTATTGATAACTTTGTATTTTGATTGCTGCTTAAGGCAAGAAACAGAAGTTACCAAAATGTATTTTCCACTCCCTCAAAGTCAGATTTTCTTACAGAAAATTTAAACCTTGTGATGAATTATTATTTTAATCTGTATGGCATCAAAGACTAAACAAGATTAAAGAAACCACTAAATAGTCAAACTAGTGCTGAAAAATTAATTTTTCTGATTAAGATATCATTTAGTGGGCAAACAAGCAGCAGTAAAATGAAAGCTCAAAAGCAAATCAAAGACATTCTGCACTTTATCCTGCATTAAACAAACATTAATAGCATAGAGATTTGGGGAAGAGGAACAGAAGAAAGATAACCAGTTACAAGTGCTGCTTTGGGGGTTAGTATATTCTAAAGCAGAACAAAAAATTCTTAGCTGTTCTTTCTATTTCTTAAGTATCAGAGAAGACAGATTAAAAAAATGTAATACTGCTTCAAAATTCATACCTCTAGAAACTGGTGAAATACTGGAAAAAGGGACCATGTTTTTCCTAAAAGAAGGCCCAACATACACTTGGCAGTATTGATATCTAGGCTGCGCTGATCCTTTTCCTGCATAAAAAGAAGAGGTCAAAAAGAAGAAAAGTGAATCATTTCAGGATTTTTCACTTCCCCCACTGCCTGCTCATCCATACATAAAGTAAATTAACAGACAAACAATAAATTGTAGTATCACACATCATTTTTTAATAAAACACAATTTCGTACTAAAATTTCCTTTTGTATAGCTAATAGCTTGCTATTCAGAGATGATGCTTTCTGTAGACTTTCCCAAAAAACTGCCATTGCTATGGCAGATGAGGCACACACTCCTGCTTGGGACTTCAGACCTTTCTAGGAAGCAATGCCCATTAGGCTCATACCATGTTTGCATGTATGCCTCTGCAATGCCACGTGTCTCTTAAAACAGTATTGCTCCACGCAGCTCCTGTGGTATTATTACAAGTACATGAACTGCCAGTAGATAGTTCAGTAGCTATCAAGTAACACTGACTAGGCAAGAGTGAGCCAAGGAGGTTCTTTGTTCTGTTATTCTACTGATTACCTGGCATTCAGATTAAATTAATTATCAAATGAGCAGAGGGAACGTAATACACTAACATATGGAGACTCCTCTCAGAGCTGTCCCAGTTTTAGATCAACATAGCAGCAGTAAATTAAGGCTTAGGGAGGGATTTTCTTGGTTTTGCTAAGAAAAAGCAGCATCATCTGCACCCAGGAGATTCATCACATCTGATCAGTGTGAAAGCTAATATATTTGAGATGCAGCTTCTGCACATCTCAAAAGTAATGTGTATATGTGAGATTCTATTTTGTTATTTTAAGTAGCTTATCAGTCTGCATTTGTTGTCTCAAAATTAAATATCAGTGAGCTAGGATGTAAAAATTCTACCCTTTTATGCCTTGGTTGTAGCACTAATTTACAAATTCAGAAATTAATGAAATCACATAAAAGAAAAGTTCCATTTTAGATACTGTAGGCCTTGATCTCTCTTGAAGTACTCATGATTTCTAACTGCAAAGTTTAAATTGGGGGAAAAAAAAAAAAAAGAGGGATATAGGGATAACCAGGATACAGGGAGTGCCTAACAGAACAGTGCAAGACAGCTACCAAAGACAAAGGGAATTAAGCCCTATGCCTCATCTGTAAAAATTTATATTCTGTAACACATACAACTACATCTTTATTAAAAAAAAGACAAGCTCAAAACATAACTGAATTGTCTTCTATCACATAGAAAGGATGTGGTTGAGAAAGATCCCAGTTCTCAGGCAGCAACTGAATGCCTCAGCCACAAGGTTATTCTCTCTTCCTGAAACCCACTTCATATAGAGTACACCTCTAGTCTAAAATTGTGTAGATAGAATTTAATGCAGATTTAGTTTGGATGGAAAGGGGGGAGGCCAGCACTCTGAAAACCTCAGACAGCTGTTTTACATTCTGGTCACTAAATCCAAATGGGACTTCACTCAATCTGATCTGAAGGAAAAAAAAGTAAATTCCAGGATGAGCAAAGCTTTTCAATTAGTCATAAAGTTGACAAACAAATTTGCAAAGGCATTTTTGCATTAACATGATACAATTCTTCCACTTATTGCCAAATTAAGTTAGTTCTAAAAACGAATCCTCTTTCCAAAGTCCATTTATGCCTCTGTTCCAAACACCTTCAAGTAGAAATCATACTGCTGTAGAATACATCTTATTTTCCATTCTGTTTATGCTATGAATTCTTCCCACACACAAGTGTTGATGAAATTGGGCTCTGTTGCCTTCATTTTGGCCATGCTGTTATTCCATGCCTTACCTTGTTAAGTCTCTACATTCTTCTTCTCTGACTGCTCTTTGGAACAAGTTGTTCAAATAAGTCCCTTATGCCCACCTCCGACTGCTTAAGGGCACTTCTGCCATGACAGGTGCTCCAACTTAACATACATTCCAAATACTTCCTCTCTCTTTCTTGGATACAGTGGAAAGAATATACTGATAAACACTGATGAAATTTCAGTGTTTTACACTGTCCAAATTCCATGTCAAAAAATTCAGAAAAATAAAGGGAGCAATGAAAGAACCTTAAGTAGGAATAGTCTTATGCATATTATGGGTACAAATACCAGGTACAATTTTATCAAATATTTCATAGTGGGAAGACAGGTATCAGGATATTGTGTAATACATACTGAGAATATCACTAACGACCTTCCAACAGTCTTCTGAAACAGTATTTCTATTTATCATATCCAGCTTTTAACGTGTTATTTTTACCACCTGCAGAAACACCTGAAGTGCCTTCCTGTTCAAATATGTTTCAGTTCACAAATTTCAAGTAGTAAGCAGAGAAACCAGAGTAATAAGAAAGCCAGTGGAAGCAAGTGGCAAAGCTCTAATAAACAACAGAATATAGACTAAATTATTTCCTTGAAGTCACAAAACAGCTTGAAGCAGAGAAGTAACAAAATATATCAAAATACTAAACCACTGAACACCAAACATCCTATATATTTTTCTTTTCCAGTTCTGGCATTTTGCAGATACCTTTTCAGGACAGGAACAGTGAGTTCCATTTTTATAGAAGCAATCTTAAGTTTCTAGTAAGATACCACTCGAGTATACAGTGTTTCAATTATTACTATGTAAGTAAAGTTTTCATTTCAGATGCTGGTCTTCCACAGTACTTACCCGTGCAAAGTCAAATGCATATCTATAAATAAGTTTAAAATTGGTAGGCTCATTTAATAAAGATCTCAAGTAATCCAGAGAATTTCTCAATTTTTCTGTAGTATCACATCTACAAGAAAAGCACAAAGTGAATTTAGAGTCTGTGCACTTATACAGATATCTGATGTTTTAGAGAAGAATCTCTAACTTGCATCCCCATCAATCTCTTCAGAATATATAACTCTGCACAAAGGCATGTTTATGAGTTTCTCTGCATAAAATGCCTTGATTAAACCCACAGCATGAGACAGAGTTAGATAAGAGTGAATTCTTACACCGGTACTCAGATAAAAATTCAGCTTTGTAGAAAACACACTCTCCAACAGATTAAACTAAGAGTTTGTCTGTGCATGGCAAACAACCAGCAAGCCACAGCAGTGAAACGATACTTCTGTAGTTCTGCTCAAACTATAGAACTTCCTACACATTTTTAGTGATCCTCTTCTGGAATACAAATCAAAACACAGCTCTTTCTTCAACTCTTTATGAAACATGATTATTCAACTACATTTATGTTAAATATGCCTTGCAGGTAAGCTCTCAACTGGAGGAAGCAACTCTTAGAGCATGACAATGCAGAGTCACAGAACGGGTGTGTATTAAGCATTTTGAACTACACATGCTCTAGCAATATACCAATAACTAACAGATTGGTCCAATCCAGTGACAAAGATAGATGGCCTTGGGGACAGAAACAATGTCAAACTTCACGACATTTCTGTTTTCTTGAGACTGCAGACATTTTAATCCAACTATATTTAAACGTGCAGCTGTCAAATTTCAAGTGGCGACATGACTATAAAAAGGACCAAAAATATAAGGCTTCTATTCCACAGCAGAGCTCTCTGCTTTAGGTGTTGTAAGTCAAAATGTCAAAGTGTATTTTCTAAAAGTATGTTTACTATAACAAATTTTAAAAGGTTTTTCAAAGTACTTACTGTAGTGATGTCATTCCTTTCAACCATTCTTGTAACGTAAAGTAGCCCATATTTTGTGCATCCAACTTCCATGCTAGTACAAGCATAACTACCTGTTTTAAAAAGGGGGAAAAAAAAAAAAAAGACTGAAAAGAACTAAAAAGATCCACACATTTTTCAAGTCACTATTGTTTAGTAGGCTACAAAGACTCTACTTCTAAAAATGGTATGTTCATACCTTTGCTACACTCCTTAGAAGTTTTAAACCCAAAAGTGACAAACCTGTACACAATCCAAAGAAGGTAACAGTGCAAAGGTACAGTGAATATCCACCCATGTTACCAGTAGCCACCTTACTTCAAGGGAGCGTGACCAATCATCTAGCAGGCAGTGCAATGAGGAAGATGAGTTGGTGCAGAGGCTACAGAAAATATTTCCCAGAAAAATTACAACATTTAAGCACCAATTTGATGACAAGTTACAATTGACACTGGTTAAACTCTCATCTAGATGAACATCAGTGGCAGGAGCTTTGTGAAATCGGATTATTCTAAAGCTAATAACGTTCCCACCTGAATCCAGCTACGCCAGGGTACCCTCAGCCTACCTAATTTTGCAGGTCTGAACATGCAGTAGAATTCAAGTAGATGTTAAGTACAGCTGGGTGAACTAACAATAACACAAAACATCTTGTATTTCCAGTAAATCTTTCAAAACCACAATTCTCATTTTACTTAGAGATGATGCTTTTTGAACCCTGCAGAAACTGGGGACTAGCACAAATTTAAAAAGCAAAAACTAGGCACTAGGAAAAAGCCTGTAAAATCCACAGCTATTGGTTTTAAGTTTGGGGTTTTTTAAATTCTATATATACATAAAAAAATATATGTATGTAATTGTATATAATCCTTATTTTTGTCTGAAATGGTGTGATGGGAGTGCTAATATTGCCCACATTTGAGACCCTTTCTCTCCTAGAAAACTCAAGGAAAATATTACTTTGTAGTTTTCTACTTGCTATATTGAATCTCCAGTGTGGTCTCATTGTTTCAGGAAAAACAGCCATCAGCTTTGGTTTTTTTAAATCTCTTTTTAGAGGGTGGGAAAAGTGAAAGGGTGGCAGCAAAGACACTGAATTTTTACAGGCTGACAGGAGTTTAAAAGTTATTTCCAAATGCATATATAAACCTCTTTGGTCTATATTTCTTCCTTTTTTGTTGTTTGTTTTGGTGGGTTTTTGTTTGTTTGTTTTTGTTTGTTTTCCCTGATGGAAAAGTAAGACATATGAAGCTGGCTCATGTACATCACAACAGATGAGGCATCTTTTGAATGAACTGCAAACTTACATTTTCTGGTTCAACTCCAATGTCTTCACAAAATTTCTCCATACCTTCTGGCCCTACAATGTCATCAGTGCCTGCAAACAAAATGTATTTTACTTATCTGTGAAAATATGAACTTAACGTCACGAGAGAAATGCAACCATGCAGTAAAACCTGAACTTCCATACACCTTTTTTTGCCTTGTTTTAACTGGCAATAAATACTTTCACACTTACTATCTGAGTTGGATACACTTAAATCTTTATCTTGCCTTTGGAAACAGAGATAGAAAAAACATAAAACAATTATTAATTCCTGACAATATCCTTTATTCTACCCATTTACTGAGTTTATCTTGGAAGAGCAAATTAGTAAGATCTTTAAGAATGCAGGTAAAACTAGCAGAACATGCACATAATATCACCACAGTTAAATGAGCGGACAATGGTTACTGAAACTCATTTCTTGGCTTGAATCTCTGTTGGTATCATAAGATCAAATCACACAGAAGTATCTTGTATAGCTGTACAACACCCAAGACATTACCATTCCCAGAATCCCATTCCTTATTGTCTCATGTACTACTTTATGTTATCGAACTTCATACAATGTTATCAATAAAAATCTTTTCCTCCTGTTTATTCATATTGCTATACCGTAGCCACACGTTATCTGAATTTTAGTAATTGCAGGGGGAAGACATGAATTACAGTTCTTTGCCATCATAAGAAAAAATAATATACGGATGGTATTAAAATGCAGAATTATTAAAACGTGCTGTTAAATCCAGATATTTGTAATTTCTACAGTACTCTGAGAAAATTATATAGGCATTAAGAAGTGTACTGTGCAATTTTTTTTTTAAGTATATTTTAAGTATCTGGACTGTTTTGCTAGAATTATTTTACTCAGGTTTAAAAGGGCTCATTTGAGAAAAACACAGAGGCTGAAATGCTTACTTTCATCCAATATAAAAATCACATGAGCACGAAAAGGAGGTTTTATAAAGGGAAGATCAGCCTATGTTTTCTTATTGGGTGATCTACTATTCTAGAAATAACAATGTTTAATTATATCTTTTCCCATCTTCTCACAACATCCTCTCACAGTTCTGAGTGTACACAACAGTCTTTAAAAAGACTCTAGAAAAAAGACATACTAGAAAAAATAACCCAACAACCACAGCATCCTCCGGTATATAAAGGAAAAGACTTAGGAAGCAGGAACACAAAAGATTATTATTTTTAATTTTTTTAGAATGTTACTCAATACTGTAAACAGATCGTACTCTCCACTTTTCTCTGGTTTATCTTGGTGTATGCCTCCAGTGGAAACCCAGAAGTTCTTTCTTATGCAGCTAGAAAGCTTTCCTTTAATCCCTTCTTTCCATGAAAGTCTTGACAAAAATGTTATCCCTGATGCTAGAGCAGAAAACATAGATCAAGCCAGTCAGAAAGGCACAGAATCTAACAGGTTAAATTTGGCTTGAATTTGCCTGAATCTCCTCTTACCGACTGCCACAGACAAGTGAGATCTTAGAGTATTTAATTCAGTTTATATAATTTTATTAGAACAAAAAAAAAAGTTTTGTTATGTCAAATGAAGCTACTCTTCATGATGCATAAGAAGTAGAACAATTTCTGAGCAGCATTATCCAAGACAGCATGAGGAAACTGCAAGATGACCTTATTGTCTTCATTAATCAACTATTTCATTTCCTTTTGGTCTTTACAATCAAGAGATCTTTTCTTCCCCTACTTACAAGTTCTCCCCTTCATAAAACCATGTGTAAAAAGAAATTACTACAATAACCAACTTCATTATTGAAGGATCACCTTTTGTGACCACAGACCATGTTAACAATCCTAGAGATAATGCCTAAAGAAAGTTCTCATACACATGGGCAAGCATTAATAACTCACTCTATCTTCCCTGTACCCTGTAATGGAAAACTATATAGACTAGTACAAGATACTTTATTTACTTCTTTGCTTAAAACCAGACACACCAGATTCAGCTGGAACAAAACTGATGTTACTCCCTCTCTCTCTCTTTTTTTCCCCCCTCTAATTAAAGACAACCTTCTCCCAAAGCATAATTCTGTACTATTCAGCACTAACATGGCAGATGACAACTTCTAAAGCCAGAGGTAACAACGTTTTGGACAGAAGTACAGCTTTAACTATAGATTTGATGAGCAAAGTACACACGTTCCAAAATATTTTGTTACACACTTTCTGTATTTCTTTTTTAGAATAAAGACAAAGACAAAATTCCCCCTTGAGCTCTTCAACTTCATGCTACACAAAACACAAGAAAAGCTTCTTTAAGACTTACAAAAAAAGTGCCTCTATATTTGGTCTTGGAAAAGCTCAGTTAATGCCACTTTATTTTCCAATATAGATTAAATTGTTATGAGAAAATTTGCATTTCACCCTTACCTGCATATTCATAGAACCATTCTAAGCATCTCTTACTTGAAAAGACTTCTTCCTCTGCTTTTATTCTAGTCGAATCATATTTTCTATACATACTTAAAAAAAAGAAAAACAAGTAATTAATTTTTTTAAAAGCAATCTTTAGGCAACAGGCACTGTAAGCAGCAACGTTTTTCCTTTCATGAACCAGTTTACCCAACATTCTGTCCTCATATCCAGTCACCTGGGACACTGCTTAACAGAGTAAGAATCACTGAACCTAAACACTGTTTGCTCAGTCTGTCACACTTCAACTTACTCATAAATGTTATCCACGTGCATGAACTTTCCCTCCAACAAACACAGACTAGTTCAAATTCAACCCCAAACCGTTTCGTCCAAGTTCAAGTAGGATTTGTGCACACTATTAGTTACGACAGTCAACGTACAGGCTACAACTTGGCTATGGGTCTAAGTCCAGAGTAATTCCATGCCACAGTCAACACAGGCTCCACCTGCAGGCACACACATACTTTGTGCACTTTTATTATTAACCAAGGAGAACTACCCACACTCTTTTTGCCTCCTTAAAGGAATAAAGCCAAAATGGGCATGAACCACACTTGCATTATTCTAAAGCAAGTAAGTTGGTGACACAGAAGAATCACAGAACAGGTTACAGGTCTTCACTGACAATAACTCAAGGAACTTCATGCATCATGGGGTAGGTAGTTATCTGAAAAGCTAGATTCATAGCACCCCTTCTCCTCTCAAGATGACCGCAAGTCCAATGGTCTCCCGCAACAAGAAGCATAAGAAATTTTAACTAAATTCAGGAAACAACACTGAAATACCAGGTCTTCTGAATTTTGTATCTGAAACAAAAGTACAGAAAGCATAGCAGAAGTTGGTGAGTTACTTCACCCCGCTTAAGACTTTTCTGAAACAGACAATATCATTTGTGGTTCTATAGGACAGAGATTCAGCAGTCCGAGTTCACTACTGCATAGCATTCTCTGATCCATTTCCACAGCTCTGCAGTATCTTGGGCTCACAAAGGCTGAAAAAGCCTTGTGAGCCACAAATGCCCTAGATGAGAGGAGGTAGCCAAGAACAGCTCTTAAGTGTTCCAAACATTCAGCCCTTCCTCTTAGTGTCAAACCCTGCTGGGGGAGGACAACAAAGCGGCTAATTGGTTCAAGGAGGATTCTGAAACAACTCGATGAAATTAATTTGGAGCTCACTTCATCACCATTTTGTCCTTCTAGAAAGACATGTAAGAGATATATACTTATGAGCTTAGGGTACACCGATCCCACTATCCTCTACCTAGCTCAACTATCAGCTATGAGGAACTGTAGCTGGAAGTCAACAGCATACACATCATCCTGACAGTAATTTAAAGAACTACTTCATGTCTACTGTCATAGTTCCTTCAAAGCAACTAACCACTAGAAAAATAGTATTAGTCAGAGCAAACTAACAAATTACTAATTGGAGCACAAATATAAATGAGGCTCTCAATTTTTCTTTCCATCTTGACATTTCTTAACATGGTACTGAAGGACAGTTCTGCAGCAAACTGAAGACACTGCAGAAAAATACCAGCCACTCATGCCTCAGAAACAGATATTCATATACTCACAATTTGTAGGGTTTTTTTTATTTTTTCATTTTCATTTTGAGAATACTTGTTTCTATTTTAATTGCCTACTTTATACAAGCTTTACTGCAGTTGCAAAGTTACAGACTGCCCAGTAAATAAACAAGTAAGCCAGAAGGTATAAGCCAAAGTTGGAACAACTTCATTTTAAAAAAGAAAAAAAAACAGGGTTGATATCTTAGCATTCTCATACTTGCAAAATGAGCTGCGATTATGAAAGACCTATCCAACATTTTTTTTCTGGCTATTTTTTTTTGATTCCTCTGAATTCAGAAATGTCTTGAGACAAAGAAGGGAGGCATTCCTCCACTTTGGCAAAAGCCCAATTGTTCAGTATCCCCTTTTCTGCAGCGAGGAACCTGACAAACACCAACTAGACTACCAAGCTGAAAATTGACTGTAGTCAGGAGCTAGTCAACATCTTTATTCTCTTCTATTTATTCAAGAAGTCTGTAAGAGCACTGCTGGGACCTAGGACATGCAAAGGTAACGTAGTTCCCAAAGACAGCCATCTATCACAAGACTCAGTGCTTTCTCTTACAAAAGGATGATAACCAAGTGCCTCACCCTGCTTGTTCACAGAACTCAGCGTTAGCTGTCAGTATGTCAACAGTGGATTTGGAAACTAGCCAGCAAGAAACAAATTTATTGGCAGAGTTCTAGGTCATCCAGGTATTTATTAAAAATAATTTTTAAAAAGGATTCTTGCAACTACAAGTGGCAGAGGTAAATATTGTAGCCTGAACCAAGACACCAATGGCAGCAACATGTGTCAGAGGAATGGTGAACAAGAACAGAAAAGACCAGCCCTTTTTATACTTCACTGCATCTATACAAAGCAAGTTTCCACAGAACTGATATGGGACTGAAAGTAATTTGTTGTTCTTAAAGCTAAGGTAATTGTTTAGGAACTGCAGAAAACAAGAATATTCATTAGGAAGTACATTTGCCCAACATACACTCAAGTAACTCCAAGCAATACACTCCAGCCTGAAAGTTATCATTGTTCAAAAAGTTAAATATCTGACCACTGGAGATTAATTTCTGAGAAACCAGAACTGGTTTAGGATCTTCCAACCTGTGCCAGTAAGAGAAATTACTTCATAAATTCAGAAAATGAAGTCAGAGAGAATACAATCTTGAGTTATTTCAGTCTCTGCTACAAGCTTATCAGCCAGACATTCATTAGAAGTGCAGGTGACACGATCACACTTGTAACGAAAGCAAAGTATGCACAGCCTAAAGTATGCACAAGTACTAAACCATGGAAGAGAAATGGCTGAATGAATCTCAGATGCCTTTCTCCCAGCCTAAAGGAACTAACAGCAGGTCATGTATTCTGCAAGACAAGGATCACTTGAAAAGGAGCACGACAGAAACAAGAATCACCACTGGAGACCCGGCATTTGTGCTCTCTCAAATATAAAGACGCAGCCTTTCTGTTCTTTCTCATCCAGCTTACTCCAAACACCACATGAGTTTCTCCCCCAGGCCAGCCAAACCAGCTAGTCCTATTAGCAAAAGATTCCTGCTCCCTGAAGTGCCTGGTGAAGCAAGATGAGCAGGGAGATGCAAGCAAGTAAGCAGATGAGTACCTGAGACTAGAGCATAGGACAACTCTATTCAATTATCACCACAAGCCCAACCTGGCAGCAGAGGGCAAAGGTGACTCCAAAGGCTGTGTCCTCTGAACCATCCTCAATACAGACTTGCTTGTCTCAAGAACCACATGTGCGGGGACAAGAAGAGAAACTCCCAGAGATGTCTGGCATCCATTTTGTATCTGAGGATACTTCTCTGTCTCTGAAGTTTCTCTGTACATACTGCAAGATGATGTGCCTTGTCCTTGTGCCAAGGTCTCTTGCTACACAAACACAAACTGACGGAGTGCACAGGGTAGATATCCAACCACTTTGGGAACACCAAAATCTATTGAACAGCTCCAAGTTTCGAACAAAGTCCTCAAGAGCTCACAGCTTCCTCAAGATGACCAAAACCAGCACCTTCAAACAGATGCACAACCATAATGCTGACCACATTATAGTTTGGTAACCTGCTTAGGTATTGATGGTCCGTAAGAGGAACTTGCAGAGTTTCAGACACCAGAAGTGAAATAACATACTGCCCAGAGTCTGGAGGAGGGAGAATTAAAAAAAAAGGGGGTGAGGTGTCAAAGTAAAACCCCTACACTTTTCATAAAGGAAGGGCCAATGACTGTATGAATTTGAACCACTGTCAAAGGATGCTGACACTGAAACAGGATTGCTAAAGGGTGTTTTCTCTAACATCACAGGCAGAACTTTTTCCCAGAGTGTCTGCTATACCTATCACTACTGGACAACAGCAAACCCTAAGCCTTTGCACTCAGAATTACCCTTCCATTTCTGAACTCTGACATGTTATCCATCAGGCAAAAAGAAAGGGAAAAAAATAATTACCTAAGGACAAAGAATATGTATTTATGTCTCAGATTTTTATTAGTTTATCATGACATTGTGTCAGCACAGTGACAGCATACTTAGCTTCTTTTTTTTTTTTTATTACTACCTTTTTCCTTGTTTTTTTTTCTCTCCTTCTAACAGCCATTTTACCAACTACAGTAAGGAAAGAATGTGGAACAGGGCAGGGAAAAAGTAGTATCAACTACTTAACCACATTTAAATTATTTTCTCAGAAATACTTGCAAATCCATTATGACCTAATAGCCGACACATAACATCCATTTTAAATTTATCCTTAAAATATTCTTGTGAGCTAGGGAATTGTAATATCTCTGCAGTAAAGATGAGACAATGTAGTTTATAACTGGAAGTGCTATATATAGATGTAAACAATCTAATAAAAAAAAAACACACAGAATGTCTAGGCCTTTCATGTTTCTTTAAATACAAGACCATCCATATCTTTTCCAGATTATTTTCCTCTGTAAGTGACTTTGTGGGAAAAATTCCATTCAGCTGTTATGAGGTGACTAGGCAAGTCATCTTAAGAGTACACGGTCACCACCAAAAGAACTAGGTCACAGCAGTGCTTTAATCTACTGAAGTCCTCAAACTTGAGTATGTGCTCCTGCTCCGAGCATGCTTCAACTGTACTGGAACTCGTTAGAGCTCCACCCACCACAGCAGCAGCTCTGTGCTGTGTAGCTCCAGGATATTCAAACTGAGATCTAAGTGAAAGCATAGAGCTTAGGCTACACAAAACAGTCTCTTGACTGTGGAAGGTGGTAATAGCCCACTGAAGGGGAAAAAAAATAAAAAAGTTTTAAAAGAATTTTAAAAAGTTCCATTGTGGCAAGTCAAAGTTAGACTAACCCCTCATGAAAATGTACAGCCTGATCATTTCGGGTGGTCAGTGTTTACTGAATGAAAATATTAAGAAATTTACCAACAGTAGCTTTGTTTCTATGCAACCAGAACTTAGTCAAAAACTTTACCTCATTTTGCTTGAGTTTCAAACTGTGGAACTAATTGCTTTCCGATGATTTATATTTTTAAAGATGCTAACGTTTGATTGAAGAACATGCCCCCTACTATATCCATTAACTCTAATTTAAAATTTTGGCAAAGAATTTTCATCAGTGCAGCACAGTGAAAGTACTTTATAAAGCCTTATCTATTCATTCACAATTACCATTTTAGCAACAGTTTCTAAAGTACTATAGTAGAAACAAGGTGAGGGGGGGGAGAAGATAGAGGTTTTACTATTTGCACAGTATTACAAAGACTGTCTAAAGCAACCCTCAGAGCAAGTTTACTTGACTGGTGAGTTTTATTAATGAAATGTGTCTTATCTCTCCCTATTTAAAGACTTAAAATAATAACTAAACTATTCAGTTAATGTTTTGAACTTCATCAGTCTTACTTAAGGAACAGTACTTAGAGTATACACACTGACAGTCATATGTTTGGTTTAAGTTTCTTCAGCGCTAATTAAGTGAAGTTCACTGAAAAGGTGTAGAAACATCTGTGCATACTTAAAAATCTCTGCTTCAAGGAATAAGCATGACAACCATGTGCAAGGCATCCGTCACCTATGCCAGTAGGTAACACAGGCTGCCTGCATGGGGCAGGAGCAAAACAGTTAGTAAACAACAACAGAAGAAAAAAACCTCTCAACTCTAAGGCTTTGAAGACTTCCAAGGTTAGTACACTCCCATTTTACTTTCCCATGTTAATAATAGTGTGTCGACTGTTTCCAAAACATACATTTTTCCACTACGGAATATGAAGTTTATTATTCAATAGAGAAAAACTGTTTTAATAGGCCCTTACATGGTCCATATAGACATTCAGAATAAATAGGAGTCTAGAGCTAATTGCTTGAAAATATAACTTTCAGGGAAGCAGAGAAATATTCCTATTTTTCACCCTTCTATGTTCCAAATATCCATTAATGTAACATTTTTGCCCTCAGCATGATTCTGTAATAAGGAGTAAATTATTTTTTAAATGAGACTCTCAGAAAGAAGACATCACATTACACAGATTATTTTCCCCTAAGGAAAAAGCCAGTATTTGGCTAGAAATTGTGTAACAGATACACAGCATTAGATAATTGCACAGTAAAGACTGTATTCTTACCTAGCAAGTATCTTTATATGACACTTGGTTCACTTTTCGTAAGACCTTTAACACAGTGATGGAAGAGCAATGTACAGAAAATGTATTTTTAACTCAAATTCGAGAATACTCGGTACTGTGAGAGTTGTAAGTACAATGAAGTCAAGACTGTGATATCTAGAGGAAAACACAAATTCAGTTTTCAAGTCATTATGTTCTGGTGAGCCTGTAATAAACTACTTACTTCCAATAGCAATTCTTTAAGAACAGGATAAATCTTACTGTGATCTAGAAATGATTACACCAAGTTCTTTTCATTAGATATTGTCTGGCATAAAAATTCTCTCCCATCGAAACACTGCATTCCTGGTTCAAAGTGATCAGCCTGTGCACGAGATCAGCATTTCCAAACAACTTCACTAACAACTAGATTTGTTCCTACAAATGTTTTTCCTCAGCAGCCAGTGTCACTATTCCACTAATCCTTCCAAGATGAGGCTGTATCCCTAATAGCCTGGTACTGAGGGCAAAGGCTATTGCAAGCTCCTTGGTATCAGATCTGTTTAAATTTATCCATTTAAGAGCCTTTAGAAA